AGTGAGGTTTTTACCCACGAAAGCTTATGCCCAAATAAATCTGTTAGTCTTTAAGGTGCCACCAGACTCCTTGTTGTTTTTGTAGATACAGACTAACACGGCTACACCCTGATACATGTTACTCTGGTGAATTTTTTATTGTGTGCTGTTATGGTACATTTTAAGTAAAAGTGTGTTGGTTTTATTTTGCTGCATAAGATCCATTTATTGATATTTTTGGTCCTGGAGGCAACCGAAGTACAAACACAGATGTATTCAGTGCCTGTCCAGGTGGAGGCACCACCAACTATAAATATTCCTATCAGTAAAAGAACGACTGCAGGATTCCACCTAATTTCCCATCTCAGCTGGGACCCCCAGGATCTCCATTATCCTTAATGACGTCAGGTGCCCAGGCAACAGGAGAGAGTTGCCTGCTCTCAAGTGACCCAGGAAGGAAAGGGGGAGGTTACAAATAATACAAAATAAAATTCATAATTTGATACCGACGTATCCCACTGTCACAATAGCACCTACCTGCCTCCCGCACATGGCACCAAAATGAAGTGTCAATTCCAGTAGATTGTGCAGCTCTGTGACTTTCCCTCTCCTTTCCGAGGGCTTGTCTACACTAGAGCTTACTTTGGTATAACTTACATCTCTCAGGGGTGGGAATAATCCACATCCCCAAGCCACATAATTCACATCAATTTGAGCACCAGTGTGGACAGCGCTATGTCGGTGGGAGAGCATCTCTCATCGCCATGGTTACTACCTCTCACGGAGATGGAGTTATGCGGATGGGAGAGCTGTCTCCCCTCGGCTTAGAGTCTCTTCCCCAGACGCGTTACAGCAGCGCAGCTACAATGGTGCAGCTGTGTCGATGTAGCCCTTCTAGTGCAGACTAGACTGTGCAGCAGTGACATCATTAGCAATGTTGACATTTAAATTACTGTCATTGGGCATCTCGTTTAACCCCTTATGGAGATGCCTGGGGCACTTCAGACCTTTCTGGGCTATTGTTTCTGCAGACTCAGGTAAACCTCACTGGAGTGGTTACACTTGCGTCACATTTTATTCTTCACAACCACGAGGGCTAGAGCCTTAATCTGAAATGAAAGCTGAGATTCTGGAGAACAAGATGGCAGCTAAAAAGAAAAAAATCTGGTCAACAGCCCAGTATGACCTGGCCCAAATCGTGCTCTAGACATGCTTAAACTGTGGAAAGATTTCCTAGCCTGTCTGTTAGTCACTCTGTGTTTGGAATTTTGCAGGCATCACACTATTGGACAGTGCGGCTCTTAGAAAGGACGTGGATATGCAAAAACAATACAAGACTGAATTTCAGGTTATTGCATCTGACACCATTGCGGCTAAGGCCTCTGCACTCCAGGCTGGTGAATCGCTGAAGGCCAGTTTCCTGTGTGGTTTAGTTGAAATGAATGGATCTGCTGTATATTTAAGTGACACCAGGAAATCCAGACATCAGGCCCGAGTTACTCTCCAATACAAAATGACAACGAGGTCTGAGCATCTGACAATGAACCATTTAGGACAGCAGGTCTCTTATCCTGCTGTATTTGACCAAGGCAAAGCAACCCACGTGGTCACGGCTGTGCTGTACGGGGCTCAGGCTTTCTTTGTGTTTGATCGGGAAGTTTCTTCACCTGAGAGCGTAGAAGAGATACAGGGAAAGATGAAACTTACGATAGAAAAAATACCAAAGATTTCAGAAGAAGATGGAGAGTCCAAAATGGATGATAAGGAAATAGAAAATACTGAAAAAATCACTTGTACGTTCTATGGTGACTTTGGTCTTGAGAACAATCCAGTTACTTATCAAGATGCCATAAAAGTTTATTCCACCCTCCCAAAGCTGCTGGGTGACAGGGGGGAGAAGGCCGTACCAGTGACAGTCTGGCTGTATCCACTCATCAAGCAAGATTCCAGAAGCACTCAGCTGATACGTGAGATCAGCGTTGGGCTGATTTCCAATGTTGAAGCTGTCATGGAGCACCTCACAGAGTTAGACATGCGGTGCAATGACATGATGAAGGACAGAACTGCCACAACTTTCCCTGAAATCAAGAGGAAAGTCCAGCAATTCCAAGCTCTGTGTAATCAGTACAGACAGGCTTTCCAGCAACAACTATCAGAACTCGTACCCTCTATCCGTGGAGGAGGAGCAGAGGAAGGGGCCCTGGGGGACATTTTAAGCAGCAAAGAACAATCACCGTTCAATACTCAGCAACTCAATGAATATCTGGATAAAAAGATGCAAGAGATGAATCTTGTGAAATCATACCTCACTTTTCTAAATGACATGGATATTATCTCTTCCAGCACTGAACTAAACCAGGTATTATTTAACCCTATGCATAGGTATGTTGTCTCCTTTACATTTACTTCATTACATGAAGAGGAGCCATATTTATCAGTTTTAAATGACTGGCTTCAGACCCAAAATATAGAGACAACTCATGATCCAGCATCAGTCAGTTCTGCATGTGGAAACTCAAAATCCAGTCAGTGGTTTGAGGATAAGAAGAAACACCAAAGAGCACAAAAGTCAGTAAATTTCTTCTCAGACTTTGTCTGTGTTAATAAATCTAATGAGAAGACTCGGTTCTGTGTGGCCTCAGTTGCAGATAAGGACAATCCAGGCACTGCCATTTACCTGTATGAAGATGGAGAACTGGTCAGCACCAACTTTGAGCCTCCATCAAAGCCTCTTCCTCCCCTGATTGGTGGAATCAGACATGACCGTGTGCAGCTCACGTTTAACCCAGCAGCCTATGGCAGGGCTGCGATATCCGGCTATCGGGCAGAGTACAGAATTGTAGGGCAGGAGAACTGGACGGCTGTGAATGTAAATAACACACAAGTGACATTCACAGTAACAGGGCTACGTGCAAACACCGAGTACCAGTTCCAATATGCTGCAGTGAGCAAACCAGGGCTCAGCGAGAGCAGCGACGTGAGTGATCCTGTGAAGACTCTTCCTACCAGCTCTCCTGGGAAGCCTGTAACAGCTTCTATAGAATCATCTACTATCGCCCTCACCTGGCAGAGTCCATGTGTCATTGGAGATGGAGTCAGTATAAGGGAGTATAAGGTGGAATATAAAGAGAAGACAGGAGATACGAGTCAGGAGGGGAAAGGCAAATGGCTGGAACGAAGGACAGGAGAGAGAACAGAGTCATGTAACATTGATGGACTGAGGCCTGAGACGCCCTACAGATTCCGAGTGTCGGCTGTGTGTGCGGATGGGGCTGTGAGTGACCCAAGTGAGGAGAGATGTATCTCAAAGCTAAAGAAAGATAAACATTTAAGTAAATCTGAGTATTATTCCCTCAACTACAGCCCTCTAGTGCCTGGAGCTACTGGATCAGGTAAGGGATTCCTTATCAAGGGCAAGAATCTAAATTATCCTGGGTGTATAATGCAGGCTCAGCTTCCATTCAAATAATGAATACAATTAGAAATAAAACCTAGCTTCCAGTTAAATACATGAGCTGGTTCCTATGCATGGACTGGGTGGCTGAGGTGATCGATGCCCCAGACTCAGGGCACAGAGTGGATCAACATAAGAACGGCCGTATGGGGTCAGACCAATGGTCCATCTAGCCCAGTATCCTGTCTTCCGACAGTGGCCAATGCCAAGTGCTCAAGAGGGAATGAACAAAACAGGCAGTTATCGAGTGATCCATCCCATTGTCCACCCCCAGGTTCTGGCATACAGAAGCTAGGGACACCCAGAGCATGGGGTTGCATCCCTGCCCATCCTGACTAATAGCCATTGATGGACCTGTCCTCCATGAACTTGGTTAATTGTTTTTTGAACCCAGTTATAATTTTGGCCTGCACAACATCCTCAGCAACGAGTTCCACAGGTTGTGCATTGTGTGAAGAAATACTTCCTTTTGTTTGTTTTAAACCTGTTGTCTATTAATGTCATTAGGTGATCCCTGGTTCTTGTGTTATGAGAAGGAGCAAATAACACTTCCTTATTCACCTTCTCCACATCATTCATGATTGTATAGACCTCTATCATATCTCCCCTTAATAGTCGTCTCTTTTCCAACCTGAATAGTCCCGTCTTTTTAATCTCTCCTTATGTGGAAGCTGTTCCATACACTAATTATTTTTCTTGTCCTTCTCTGCACCTTTTCCAATTCTTATATATCTTTTCAAGATGGAGTGACCAGAACTGCACACAGTATTCAAGGTGTGAGCACACCATGGATTTATATAATGGCATTAGGATATTTACTGTCTTATTATCTATCCCTTTTCTAATGGTTCCTAACAGTCTGTTAGCTTTTTACTGCTGCTGCACATTGAGCAGATGTTTTCAGAGAACTATCCTCAATGACTCCAAGATCTCATTCTTGAGTGGTAATATAGGCCCCATCATTTTATATGCATAGTTGGGATTATGTTTTCCAATGTGCATTACTTTGCATTTCTCAACATTGAACTGCCATTTTGTTGCCCAGTCACCCAGTTTTGTGAGGTCCCTTTGTAGCTCTTTGCAGAATACGTTGGACTTAACTATCTTGAGTAGTTTTGTATCATCTGCAAATTTTGCCACCTCATTGTTTTCCAGATCATTTATGAATATGTTGAACAGCACTGGTCCCAGTACAGATCATTAGGGAAACCACTGTTTACCTGTCTCCATTCTGAAAACTGACCTTTTATTCCTACCCTTTGTTTCTGATCTTTTAACCAGTTACCAACCCATGAGAGAACCTTCCCTCTTATCCCATGACAGCTTACATTGCTTAAGAGCCTTTGGTGAGGAACTTTGTCAAAGGTTTTCTGAAAGTCCAAGTACACTATAGTCACTGGATCACCCCTGTCCATGTAGCTGACCTCCTCAAAACTTCTAATAGATTGGTGAGGCATGATAGCCCTTTACATAAGTCATGTTGACTCTTCCCCAATAAATTGTGTTCATCTGTGTGTCTGATCATTCTCTTCTCTAGTAAAGTTTAACTAGGGCTGTCAATTAATTGCAGTTAACTCAGTGATTAACTCAAAACAAATGAATCACGATTAAAAAAATTAGTTGTGAATAATCACAGTTTTGATTGCACTGTTAATACTAATCGTTGTTACATTTTCTTGAATATTCCATTCTTTCGCAACATCCAAGGAACGCTCTACACATGTTTTAGTATAATGTCTCTCTTCAGTATGTGTTACTATTAAAGCAAACAACTGTAGTGTCCATGCAGCATCAGACAGGTGTGCTGTGACTCCAAGATAGCTGTGATTGCTCCAGGATGTCCAGTGATCACCAGTCAAAGCTACAGCTCGTGCATTTTCAAAAGCTCCAACTTTGTAGTTTTCTCATTACAATATAGGTCATGTGTTCCTGATGCAATGGGAGGGCAAGGCACATGACTGATTGGAAGATGCAATTTGAATAATATCTCTTAGCCCTCTGTTGTTTACAATGGTGAGTGGTCTGCAGTCCATAGCTATCCACTTTGCAATAGCATTGGTTGAGCTGTTGTACAGTGTTTGATTCATGGGCTTGTAGCAATCCTGAAACTCTGTCATAGCT